TATATATTGCTTCATAATGCTTTGCAGCACTCTCTACATAGTTTACAGAGTCAGCATATTGTGCCCAACAATCTGAATCCTCATTTTACCGATCTTGCAAGGATGGAAGATTGAGTCAACCTTAAAGCCAATCAGGATCAAACTCCTGGCAGTGGGCACAGTTAGCCTGCAATGCTGCATACCGCATTCTAACCACTGCACCACCACAGCTTCTAGGATCACATTTAAGACAGTTACAATGTCCCAGGGTCTTTGTAACCTTCTGACAAGCAAAGTCAAGGAGAAGCCAGGTTCACTTAATAATCATGTTATTAACAACTACAGTGATTCACTTATCACCTATGGCAAGAAAGGTCATAAAATGGGACAGAATTCTCTTAACTTCACTGTCTCATTTAGCAACAGAAATTTTGGGCTCAATTGTAGTTGTAAATCAAGGACTACCTGTGTCTCCCTTAAAATTAGTATGCAATCAGTGTGTGATCTGAGTATCTTAAGAGTATCCCTCATCTGCTTTGTTCTTTAGGTTGCTTTAGGTTGTTTATGCTGCAAAACTGAACATAGATTGTTGCCATGCACTGAAAATATCTTATTCTTTTTTACTATCAAAATCTTTACCCAGATTTGTGGAAATGGTATAGTACCGTGGCAAATACTTTCAGCATACAAAAATTGTATGCATACAAAAATATTAAGTCTAATATTGTGTCAACATTAAAAGTGCCCTAATAAAATCTTTTTATTAGATTAAAAAGTTCTAGTAAATACTTGAAGATAATTGTTTTTGCAGGTAATTGTTTTAGTAAGGCCTTCTCATGGTACTAATCTCCTACAGAACAGCTTGTCCTTTTGTATATAAACTAGGACCTCCCTGGTGAGTTTGTGAGAGGTTCTTGGTGCTCTCTGAGCTTGCTAGTTTTCTTGTAAACGTTTAATTACCCAAATCAAGTAACATCATCAATGCTAGTAATGTTTGCTGTCAGTTTATATTTTAATGGCTTGTCTTGTCAGTGTTGGTGGGGGTGGTCTTAGAGATTTGTTGGTGGGGCTGTTTACTAATTGGCTTCTTTGGCAGTTTCTCTATTGGGGTATTGCTTACTTGATCTTTGGACTGATATTAATCTTGGAGTTAATCCAGGATGAAATGCTCCTGGTTCAGACCGGATTGCTTGATCTGGTAGCGATGGAGGTGGGTGGTTCGGAGAACCGGTAGCAAAAATCCCTGCGCACCCCCCCACCCACCCCCCATGCCCAGCTGAGCCGTGCGATCATCAGAGGCTTTTTAAAAAAAAATTAAAAAGCATTTTTTCTACAAACTCTTCGGCATTTTTCATTTTTTTTTTCATTTTATTAAATTTGTATACCGCCCTACTCCCGAAGGACTCAGGGCGGTGAACAGGCACGAAATAAAACACATAAATACGAAAGTTAAAACATGATTAAAACCTAATTAAATAATTTTTGCCCGAGACAATTTAAAACTCCCAATAATTTAAAACAAATTAAAATTTGAGTTTAAAAATTTAAAAGAAGGGGGAAAAATTAGGCCAGGCCGGCCTGCTGGAATAGGAGTGTCTTCAAAGCACGGCGGAAAGTGCGCAGATCCGGGATCCTCCGTATCTCCGGGGGGGAGCTCGTTCCAGATAGTAGGTGCCCCCACAGAGAAGGCCCTCCCCCTAGGAGCCGCCAGTCGACATTGTTTGGCTGACGGCACCTGTAGGAGCCCCTCTCTATGAGAGCGTACCAGCCGGTGGGAGGCTGTTTGTGGTGGTAGGCGGTCCCGTAAGACTCTCAGGAATCTTCTCCAGCACCATAGTTCAAAGGCCTCAATTCTTTGGCACTCAGCCTTTCTTATCGTCCAACTTTCACAGTCATACATTACAACTGGGAATACCATAACCTTGACTATACACACTTTTGTTGGCAGGGTGATGTCTCTGCTTTTTAGGTATCTAGATTTGCCATAGCTTTCCTCCCCAGGAGCAAGCATCTTTTAATTTCTTGGTTGCAGGTCCCATCTGCCGTGATCTTGGCGCCCAGGAAAATTAAATCTGTCACTACCTCCATTTCTTCCCCATCTATTTGCCAGAAATTGAGGCAAATAGGCTATTCTCTGCCCTTTTCCTCTCCATTGTTTCTGGAGTTGGTTTGTGGAGTTCTGCACTTGGGTTACTGCACAGAGTGGCCTTGCTATGATTTACAAACCCTCTTGCTTGGGTTTGCAGAATCTGGACTGGCTCTTTCCTTACTCTCCCCTGTGAGCTCTCAATGGTCTTGCAAATACAAAAATGTTTTTTCTTATACTGTACATATATATCCATTAAGGCATATTAGATAAAAGGAGATCTAGAGGGATGATTGGAGATACCTATGAGTCTGCTAGGAAGAATAAATAAAAATGGATGTAGGTTCCAGATTAGTATATATGTTGCCAATGTTAGTTCTGCTTCACTGTTTTAAGCAAATTGATAAGATAATGGAAAATTTTATTAATCCATTAGGATTTCTCTTTTATAGAATCTGCTTTTCCTTTTGTTAATGGTAGTTTTGATTTACCTGGTTTTAAAGTATATCACTTTAAAGTTATCACTCAGGTTATGTATTTTTGCTGGTTTTTTTAGAAAAAGTATTAAGATCAAAATGTAATTGGACATGTGATTTTAATAGTTCATTTGGGGAATTATTATTTCTCACATGCTATGCCAAGCACATTGGGCTACAAGCATACTCCACAGTTCTCAGTCCACATCTACAATCTCTTCTTTCTTCCATTTAAGGATGTTTTTCAGATCTTCCTGAAATGTTTGGCACCAGGTTTTCTTTGTTCTTCTTTTTCTTTGACCATCTGCTGGTATCCAAATGATTCTAGTCTTTGCTCAACATTGCTCATCTCATTCATGCAGAGCATCTGTTCAGCAAAGCACATTCTTATTTAGCAACTTGAAGATCCTAGCAAAAACTTAATTATAATGTTAGTAGATATGATTTTTCTGGCAGGTACGGCAGTTCAACTTGTTTGGGCAGTATTGGGTAAGAAATTAACATATATCTGAGTTTTTATAAGACATTGATGATTTGAAAAAAATATGGTACTTATAAAAAATGTAGCCCACTTTTCATTGAGAAAGCAGCACCAATGTAGGGAAAATAATTAATTTCTAATGGAGAATAAAAATGAATGCTCAGCACAAAATGAGTTTTTGGAATTTGGGAGCATCCATGTGTGAGTGCATTTTTAGTCAAACTCTAAACCAGGTGGGTCAAACTCATGTTGTCACGGCAGCATCACATGATGTATTGTGACTTTTTTTCCCATAGCTAAACCCAGGGTGAGTATGGCCAGCATGTGATGCATCTGCTCTAAGCAGTGATTGTAATTGAATTGTGTGTGACTTCATTCCCTTAATTCTTATCTTGAAAATTTTTTTAGATCAAACTAGCTGATAGAGAAATGTTTCTGCAGTATATATTATTGAATGAAGTGAGCAATGATATTAAAATTTAAAAAAAAATATTAAAGCACTTAGAGAAGCTACCATAAATAAAGTAGCTTCAAATCATTTGACCAAATTATTCATAAATCCCCAGTTTTTTCTACTGGTCAATCCACATGTTAACAAACAACATACATAAGAATCTACCACTCTAAAACAGGGATTGATTTATTCTTCAGGTATATAAATAAACCAGACCAACCATGCCCTGTTGGTTGATCTTTTCAGAGATATTTATTTATCTAAACAGAATGACCACAGGTGGGCAAAAAACAAGTGGGCTTTGAACTACCTGCCAGCTTTCCTCCTTGTAGGAAGCTGTCAGGGATTATCACAAATCTTCCTTCCTCCCTCTCACTTTCCCTTCCTTCCTTCCTTCCTTCCTTCCTTCCTTCCTTCCTTCCTTCCT